GGCACCTCTCCGACCTCCTCTGGTTTGCGGTAGACGCAAAAACCCAGGATTGGATTTTTCAATAAATCACTCATCCTGCAAAGAAAAAAGTCAGGTCACCAGCTTCTGAAACGTCGCCCCACATTCTGTGTTTCCATCATTAAAGTGGATCCAAGAAGGAGAGAGGGACACAGAGGCATCCTGCCTGCCCGGGCCATCTGCTGCAAAGCGGCAGATAGTTGAAAGAGGTTCTTCTCTGGCATGTGGCTCGCTTCTGAAGGGCAAGCGCAGCTGCAGCCCACTTGCTCCCACAGGCACATTCTTGAAATTCCGCTTTCATTTGTGCAAGCCACTTGTGCCCAGGATTTAAAGAGTTGAGTGGCTGGTTGTCTGGAGCTTGAGAAAAGAAATGGCATTCTTGGACCCTTGTCTCCCAGAAACAATCCTTTCCTGCTATTTTAGTCCAGTCTCTTTGATAGGTTACCTCCAGATCTCTAAATAACATGCTTATAGTCCTACTTCTTGATTTCTCGGATTCAGGAATTATCTGCTGTTGGCCCATTCTGGAAGATGAGGCTTTAGCTCTCATTTATCACCATCTCTGCCATCGCCACACACGTGATCCTTTTCAAGCCTCCTGGTTCGATGGCAATTTTAGATAGTCAATGTCTTCGTTATCTGGGTCAAGAAAACGCTGTTCACGGATGGATCACACAGGCTATTGTGACTGGAACACGATTTTTCCTAGGAAAACTTTGTGTTTTCCCTGAAGTGAACAGCACCTGTACCCCCGGCCCCCATCCCGGCCCATTGGTTCAGGGGTTTCATATATTTCTCCCTAATCCAAACACAAAGCCTTCCCCAGCTTGTGAGTTTTCTCTGGATGCATTTAAATCCATGGAGTGTTTTTCAGTTTCTTTACACAGAAATCTCTCCCGGGGCGTCTGACTCACTCCCTGGGAGTCTCCGAGGCCCTGCACCCTCGTCCACGACATGCTCCTTAGCCAGGGTCCCCATCTCTCCTATCTGGTGCCTCTCTTTTTCTTGGTTTACTCCCTTGGTCTCAGTGAAGCGTATTTATCAGCAGTTCCGGACAGGGCTGTACGGAGGTAAGGTCTTAATCATCCCTCCACGTCTCCTGAGGGCAGAGAGTGTGAGTGGAAGCGACTTGCTGCAGGGCTGTCTTCTCATGCCCAGTGTGGCTAAGAGGCTGCCTGTTATTTTGATTCTTGAATCTTTACATTTTTATGGGACTGTGGCTGTGGCTCAGCGGTAGAGCGCTCGTCTCACACGCGTGAGGCCCTGGGTTCGATCCTCAGCACCACATAAATAAAATAAAGGTATTGTGTCCACTTACAACTTAAAAAATACATATTAAAAAAAAAAAGACCTGATTTTATGTGTGTGCGTGTTTTTTTAGTGCCCTTTCTAGAAACCTGTAGGCTTTCCTTTCTGTCCAGGGCTCTGAAATGTGATGATGGTGTTCCTGGTGGGCTTTGCTGTCATTCAGGGAGTAGATGAGTCCTGCTCTCTCTGAAAACCAGGGTTCTCTGGGCTCAGGGGAAATTGTCTTCAAGTTCTCCATTTTCTCTTTTCTGTCTAGAATCTCTAGTATTTGGATGTAAATCTCCTACCAGGCTCTCTGGTTTTTCTTTTTTGTTGGAACTGGGGATTGAACTCGGGGGCACTCAACCCCTGAGCCCCATCCCCAGCCCTATTTTTTATTTTCTTTAGAGACAGGGTCTCACCGAGTTGCTTAGTGCCTTGACATGGCTGAGGCTGGCTTTGAACCCGAGATCCTCCTGCCTCAGCCTCCTACACTGCTGGGGTGACAGGGGTGCACCACTGCGCCTGGCGGACTGTAAGTGCTGAGTCCACTCAGTCAGCTACTGTGCATCTGCAGATTCTCCAGCTTCCATGTTTACATTGCTACTTCTCTCCCCCTCTTCTTGGTCCTTAACAGATTCACCCTGTAAAAACCATTTTAGTTGATTTTTAGGAGAAACAGAAGTCCATGCTTGTGTTCAAGTTGCCTGGATTTTCAGGTGAGTGACGCTAACGGGATTCTCTGCAGCCTGTGCTGTGGCTTCTGGTCTGTGCGGTGTGTGTGTGTGTGTTTGGGGGATGAACACGGGGCCATGAGCAGGGAAAGGGTTAGCTTCGGCTCTGGTTCCTACTCATTACGATCTTGGTCTCGTTGGTGGCCTCAGGATAAGCACCACCCACCCCCTGTGCACTCTCAGGGTTCTCAGTGGGATCAAACAGGATAATGACTGACAGCACTTCAAAACGCAGAGATCACTACAGAAACACAAGGCTTTGCTATTACTTAAAAAAACCCTCCCTTTCATCTCCTGGAATCCAATCTGAAGTTATCTTCAGGAGAAATGCTGGTCTCTAATAATCATACAAATCACCCTTGTGGCATCCAAAAGAATGACCTCCCGTCACACAGACGTGTGACATGGGACAGTGTCTCTCACCCCACCAACACGGTCCCGGTAGTTGCCAGAGGCAGCCAGGTTCCCCTCACCCAAACACACACCCGGAATCTCAGATGGCGTTCTGAGAAGGGGGCGGGAGACCCAGCTCTCGTTCGAGGGATCCGCTCCTCCATTCTGGGTCTGTTTCTCAGCTCACCTCTTGTCTTTCTCCAGGGAGGTCAGAAATGCAGGAAGAAGGGAGACCAACAGAGTGGAGGAAGGGGATTGGTGGAGGAGGGAAAGGCTCGGGAAAGTCCTGGGGAGTGACATGCCACATTACGCCATGCCAAGTGCAAACACATCACAACGAATCGAATCCTGTTTTTACATGAGATTAGAATACGCGAATCAAAATGATAATGATAATGATAGAAGGGAGATCCTAGAGTGGGTGGTTGGAGGAGGAAGGAGGAGAACTAAAGGGAAGGAGACTGATAACACTGTGTTATGTGCATGTGCAAACACGGTATAATGAATCTCACTGTGATGTACCCTCACACTGCATCAATAAAAATAACACAATCAAAAAATGAGCCGGGTGTGGCGGCACACGCCTGTAATCCCAGCGGCTCAGGAGGCTGAGGCAGGAGGATCACAAGTTCAGACTCAGCAATGGCAAGGCGCTAAGCAACTCAGCAAGACCCTGTCTCTAAATAAAATATAAAATAAGGCTGGGGATGTGGCTCAGTGGCCGAGTGCCCCTGAGTTCAATCTCCAGTACCTGCTCCCCCCCCAAAATAATTGAATTAAATTAAAAAATAAAAAATAAATATAGGAAAAGGAGTGATTAGACACATCCAGACCCGGGATGTTACAGCCATTGAAGAACAATGGGGTAGAGGTGCCAGAGGAGACACCCACGGTATGTTAAGTGATAAAAACGAGAGGTGGGACCAACCATGTGATTTCTTTCCTATAACAAAACAGCAAAACCCTGTGCACACGGAGGTGTTGATTTACAGGCCTACGTGTTTGTATTGCATAGACACAGTGACACACGCGTGCACAGAAGTGAGCCCATTCTCACCAAGCACGGCGGTCGCTTCTGGGAAACAGGACGGGGTTAAAGGACTCGTGCCTTGTACTCTACACAAATCTGCGCAGTCTGATCGGCCTCCTGAAATGTACATGTGACTTCTGGAAAGGAAAGGCTAGATGTCCACTAAAAGAGTAAGAAGGAAAACTGGATCTGGGAAAGCCTCTACCCACTTTTCAAGTAAAGGTCATAAGAAGCCAGGAAAAGGCGGATGGCGAAGAGGCAAAGGAGGGCCCGGGTTAGCAGGAGTCGGGGCAGGTGGCACACCTGTGCTGGGGCCCATGTGGGGTGGAGTACTTCCACCCAACTGGTCACTACAAATAGACCCCTCTGGCCCATTTCAACCACCTGTACTTCCACGCAAGCTCCACCATCAACATAAGAGGAGGCCTTACTCCTAAAACAGTGCAATTTCCACAGAGGGAGGAGACACACCCATCTTGAGTGGACAGTTCAATGACTTCTGAAAAAATGCCTATCCCCAGCTAACTCACAAGGGGCATGTATTTAAAAGAGAGTCTCCTAGCTGAATGCAGATGTGTGGACGTGTGGGAGATGAGCTCACTCGGCGGCGGTCAAAGGCACGAGTGTGTGTTGGTGTGGGCTTCCAACCACACTCATCTCACTGATTCTGAATCAGGACCTGCTTGGTGGTACCAAGACTTCTCCCTGCACTTCCCAGGGACTTTCTGAATTTGTCTACTCCTAATTTGGGTGTCTCCTGGCTCAGTGGCCTGCATGTTTCTTGGCAATGAATATGATAATCCTAGACCACACATGCAATCAGTCTGGCAAGAATATACAGGGCTGAAAAGATCTTTGGAGGTGGACCAACTTTCTCAAAAAAAAAAAAAAAAGCCACCCACCACTGTCAATTTCCCCTTTCCAAATGAGAGCTGTTAGCTCCCGTGACTCACTGGAACAGGGGACCATTTTCCAGGTGTTTCAGTACCTGTGTTCGGTCTTTCTGGGCTAGCATAATAATCATAATGGCTTACTATGTGCCAAGCATTATATCTAAAACACTTTACATGATTTATCTCTACCACATCACCGTGAGATAGGGACGATTACCTCCACTTCATTGATGGGGAACTCAGGCACAGAGACGTGAGTTACTTGCCCAAGGTCACAGAATTAACAAGTGACAGTGTGAACACTGGACTTGAGTCTCCTGCCGGCGAGGCGGCGCTTACTACCGTTCAGGGGAGGCCAGGCACTCTAAGGTTTAAAGGACGGAAAAGTGTCATCTCCTGACTTCCTGGCGATTACTTTCCCCGCCAGACTCGGTGGCCTCTACTACATAAAAATGTCAGCTCCATTTTTCTTCTAAAAAGAGGTAAATATACAGTCATCTCTAGGTATTGCTAGGGCCACAAAGGGGGTCTCTCCGTTCTGTCTAGACACAAAACCAACAGAGCATAATGCACAACCGGGTTTTATAGCCAGAGGTTTTTATCTTGTAGTTTCTCCTCTGAGGAGCTGGCTGATAAATCGGGCTTCACAGGTGGAGAGGAGTGTGTGTTTTCAAGAGTGACTTTCAGGAGCAGAGAGAAGGGCAAGCAATAATGTGGCAAAGAGAAGCATCCTTCAGAACCAGTGGCCATCTCCCCTCAAGAGGCCAATTAATCCATTTGAGGCAATAATGGGGGAGAGTGGCGGAGCCTGGTCCAGGCCGTCTACCCACTTTTCAATGACGGCGACTAGTCGCATTCATCAGTCTGCGGTGAACACAAGCCACCCTGTGCCACTGCATTCATCACTCGGCACCTGCTGGCTGGAGGCCCACGGAGATGGAGGCAAGATCAGCCAGAGCCCATCTGCACAGCCCAGGATTCCCACCCCCCAGCTCTCCGCCTCTAACGATTCTCAACCTTGACAGCATGCCTTTGTCTCTTTCTAAAGGTGCGACGTGATCTTTTCATTGCTGTTGCTTTGAGACTTGGGCCATCTTATTTACCTGGAGAAACCGTACAGAGAACAGATGTGGGGTCTGTGTCAAGGCCAGGACAGTGCTGCCCCCAACGGCAGGCCAGAGTAGAGCTTTTGTTCTGATCCCTCGAATCCTGTGGGGTGCAGCGGACAGAGGCATGATCCTTCGATTGCAGTGTAGAGGCTTCCCATTCTGGGAATAAGGAGGGCCATATGCAAACCAACTCATCACCTACCAAAGTCATCACCGGACAACTTGTAATTCTGGAGTAAAACGCATTTTTAAAAGTATCCTAGTGAGACTTTGAAGAGGTGAGAAAAAGTCAAAGGTACACACCTGGGAAATGGGCTGCTATTCTCCAAGGCAACAGAAGTCGGACCAAATAGGTTTTCCATCTTGCTAGAGACAAAAGGGGAACACAAGTCAAGATGCAGAGCCTTCTCCGAGCCAGCAGCAGGCTAAGGAGCCTCTTTTACGTTTGGACCCCAAAGAGCTAACTCTTAGGGTAAGAAGGAACCAGAAGAAAACATAGTTCTCCTCACTACCCAGGAGACTACAGGGAAGGGTGCCTTTGCGATGGGTACGGGGGAGGGTGTGTGGAAGCATTTATCAGCATGGGTGGCCCTCCCATAGATTGCATACCTTGGGCTTTTATTACTTGGAGGTCAAGAGAAACTCATAAACTTGGTTCAAAATGGTACTAAATTGTGCTTAATGCTTAATGTCAGGTTCCACTTGTATCTGACAAAAAAAATAAAAGGTCCTAGGCACCTAGCAGAAGCTAAGCTAAATCTCTCTGGAGGAAGCTATCTTTTATCAGAGTCCGCAACAAATGCCCACAAATAATTTCTCAGATACAGTGAGTAGAATGCTGTAAATAATATCCAACACGTGGGGAATCAACTCACCAGGAAGAGACCATGAGAAACAGTAGACATCAGAAATAGACACATAAAAACTTCAGACACTAAAGTGATCAGGCCAAATCGTAAACATGTTGCTAGGTTACTAAAAAAAAAAAAAAAAATGAAATAAAAGCTTGACTATAACCACCTGCGGGGGAGAATAAGTTACTGAAAAAAAACAGTGAAATGTATTTGAAAAAAGAACAGAATAGAACATGTAGCAGTGAGAAGTATTTTATTTAAATTGTAACACTCAATGGACCATCTTAATAGTAGATTAGACACAGATGAAAAGAGAATAAATGAACTGAAAAAAAAAAAAGCTCAGGAGGAATTATTCAGAAGGTATCAGGGAGAGACACAAAAAGACAGAAAATACCAAAGTGAGGTTAATAGACACAGAGTAAGGTGGTGAAGTTCAATCGATGGTGTGTGTTATGGTTTACATCCAGAATGTCCCTCAAAAGCTCATGTGCTGAATGCATGGTCCCCAATGTAGCATGTACCCAGAACCCATTATTAGTAAGTGATGGATCCATTTCTTGAATTGTGATGCTAATTTTATACACCCTCTTGTTTTCTTATCTCTCCACATTCCTCGCCTTTCTTTAAAGATGCCAACTTCTTGACCTGACTGTCTTAGCCTGGCTCCTTTGCTTAATGCTTAACGTCAGGTTCCACTTGTATCTGACAAAAAAATAAAAGTTGTCATTATTTAACTGAAACACATGGCTCCTGGTCCTCCCCAGTGTCGTGCAGAGGATGATGGGTGAAGGGGAAAGCCTTGGGGACTCACTGTCATGTTCTTCAATACAGAACGGTGTCAGGTGCTGTCAGGGGTCTGGAAGAGCTTCAGCTGGGAACTGGAGGTGGCTGGCAGTGTGCAGTCCCCACTCAGGGGCAGTGAATGAGGGACTGTGACTTCTAAAGCCAAACGGAGCATGACTCCGAGGACTGCAAACGCATGGATAAAGCAACCACCCGCGCCCAAACTCACACCCACCGCCTGTCTTCTTGAAGGAGCGCGGATTGGGGTCAAAGAGAATGGGGGATAGGGAAAAAACTTCTTGAAACGATGTCAACATTTTGAGCCTGAGAGACCCAATTGCAGAAGATATCTCACGGCTGTTGGGCTTCTACCTACATTTGTCTACTTCCTGAGTCTTGATGTTACTGTGTGTGCAGGTGTGTGTGTTTCAGCCCTGAAACCCACAAACCCTTGTACCCCTCAGTGGTCAACCTTAGATGGTTTCAGACCTTATGTATTCCATCTGCATGTGGATTGCCATCAACAACCTGATACCCAAGACGTGATTCCATCCCAGGGACCCTTTCCAAGCAGGAGGAATGGGGAGTCACCCCTTGCTTAAAGCTGATCAGTTTCTCTTCCTGGTTTGTCTTCTCTGCCACGCTTTGTGACCAGCTATTTCCAATGCTTCAGTCCAGAGAAGCCCCTCCTCTCTGCTATCTGCAGGCACAGATCAGTGTCAAGGGCCAAAGTCAGAGAGGGAGGGAAGGAGGCCGGATAAGCTGTTTCCTAGCAGCTAAGATCAGTCAGTCTGACATTTTCTTTCTGATGCTT